TATCACGCGCCGTGTCCAACTTTGGGACTTTGTTGGGGGTAAAAAAGTGAGTTGCCTTATGACACTCTAAATTTTCGATATACAATAGAAGTACATACCATTGCTTTAACACAAAAAGACATATAGTTAGGAATAATGACCATTTATCCCTGGTTTGTAAAGCGCCCCCCCCCCCCGTTACCTCGGCCTGTCTATAGCTCGTCCGGTCTTCAGTCCAGTCTAGTCCGGTATGTAGGTCTGTCGGGCCTGAAGCTTTGAAGTCAGTCAGGCGCATCAGTTTATTTCCCCTTGGGGAACGTCCAGAGCAGAACAAAAGACGGCTTATCGGATTACAGACTTGTGGCCAGAGATTACCGAACTGTTTAAGTACCGCTGCTGGCCTCAAAAAATGCGGGGTTGGGGGATTTGTTGTAAAACGTTTTCGACACACACATGTACTTACTTTCGGTAATAATGATTGATTCCGTAAAGCTACAGTAGGGCCTATGTTTATATGCCACGATTAAAGTGTGCAGTTTGAAGCTACAAATTTAAATGGTGGTGCAAATCACCGTAAGCTCATTTATTTCTGATAAATTGTTGCAGGTATAATACTTAAGAAAATACATGTATAATGTTCAATTTCAATTGCATAAACTCCTGGGAAAAACAGATTGATTGTATTTAAACCCATAAAAGAAGGACCTTGATATTCACATTAATCCGAACGAAAACCAACATCTTTACATGTATTTGTAAATTCAGGAGTGATAAGTAACTAACTTTGGGCCTTTAAAAAATGGTATTGGGTGGGGGATTACGATGGGCAATTTGTTCTATTTTTCGTAGTTCTTGGCTGAAAAGGATTGCTTGTAAACATTTATGCGTTTGGTTTTTTTTCTACGAGATCCTGAAACGCCTCAACATCAGTTCCTTCCCAAAGCTGTTGAAATCAAAATAAATGTAGTCTGCAATTAAGAAATCCCACACACAACGTATTAATATTCAAAAAGTGAAAATGCTTGCGCTTGCAACCCCATTTGTATGGCATTGTATGGGAAACCCAATAGCACGAGCCTTCGTGAGCTGGTATGGGGGTTCTATTGTTTTGCTCAGGAGATTAATGCTTGCAAGTGTGTAAGTAATTTACAGTCCCATTGTGTGCCAAACCGCATGGCAGGGGTTTTGATCTGTGCCGGGAAGGGGCTCTTTTGTCTCGCGTTGGGGGATGAAAACCACAAGCGGGCGTTTTCTGGGATCAGCCACCGGACTAGCCATCTGGGGCGGTAGCTGGGCCGGTAAGAAAGGGCTTTTTGGGAGGGGGCGAGCTTACCGGGGGGCCCTTGACAAACAGGGGTTGAATGGTCACTAAGACTTATATCCTTGATTTTGTAAACAAGTCAAGGGAAGGTGGTACAACTAGGGTTCGGTGCATTCCTGTACAGACAGCGATAAAGGGGTATTAAGGTTTGAAATCCCGGAAAATTTCATGTTTTGATTCTTATTTTCAAACATCTAATTAAACCATAATGTGTTATCGTTCCTGAGAAAGGATAAAAAAAACCCACGGTTCTCATCGGATGCATGACGGTGTACGCATACGTTTTTCCTGTCGAACGCCAATGTAGTTTCTCATACTCCCTCAAAAGGCGAACACTTTACTTAACTATATAGCTTGGGTTGTTGATTTTTCGGGGGTGGAGTCGCAAATGGGGAACCCTGAAATTCGTTCCTGCACGAAATAACACAAACGCCCAGATTTAAACGATGGTTGTGTTATATAATGCTCTTTCCGATAAACATCATTCGAGAAGCATTGCTCAATCGGGCACTGTCTAGGCCGTAGTGTCCCTTTAAAAAACCAACGTTTTTGTTATGGCTATAATGACGCTTTTTAAACCACTGAATCCATTCCTTATTGTACGCGCATCTGTAGACTTAAAGATATATAGCCTAATCGATTAATTAGCCTTCATGGATTAAGCGCCATCTGATCGGACGAGTGTAATGTATACAATAGAATGTCACAGTTGCTTGTGTACTAACATTCGCTCTGGCTAAAGTCAAAACCTTCCATTTTCTACGATCACCGCGCATAGATGTATATTTTACTTGGATTATTCCTGTGGCAGTGTAGAAGAGTGCCATCCATATTGTATTGAATAACAAGAGGAATATAGGAGCACGGAGATAATGAAATGCCTATCTTCGTGGAACGACGACCAGTCTCCGTACATACGCATGGATTATTAGCTATCTTGGATCTTCGATTTATCAAATACCCCCATGGCTGTAGCAACGGTATCCAAGATGAAACCAAGCTCTTTGTAAGTTTGATAATTTTGTATTTCTCTGTAGATATCCATTTTTAGGTAGTGTTACGCAGTACATCATACTATTGCTCTACAATTTATAAATGACCGAATGATCCGGAGTCCGACAGTTTCGTTGACTTTTTTCACGTATGAAACGCAGAGGTTAAAAATAGTTAGTGACGATATCCCTAAGTATATAAACTCTGACAACATCTCTAAACTATGCCTCACACCACGGCCTACGGTGGCCCCTTTCGAGAAATATCGATCTGTTCCGGCTATAACCCCCACGGAGTGATCAATAATTACTTCCGGCCACTTACAGTCCTATTGTCCGACAGATTACACACTCGCTACACGAGAGCGCACGTGCGTCAACAGTCCATTGTCCAAAAAGATTATCTGGGATTGATGCTCACTTCCGGCCACCTACGTCAACAGTCTATTGTCCGAGAGGATTACTGCCGGCCACAGGTGGCCGTCTTCGGATTGCGTAAACCGCATGTAATACACGTGTAAATACATATAACTACATGTATACTGTTAGGGTTAAGGTCAAATTGTACTATAACATTTTTATATTTCCCCATACATATATGCAATCTTTCACATAGAATAGGTCAAACTGTACCCAATTCCTTACCCTCACCTATTTTCTATTCATCCCATCCATTCATTAGGGGTCAAACTGTGCCAGAATTTCCAAACCCCATTAATTCATATTTATATCTGTATCTACATATTTACATATTTATGTGACCTTTACATATTTCTATGCCAAAGGTCAAACTGTGCCAGACAGTCCCCCTCCACTACTCTGGTGAGGGATCTTTGTATTTGCATTTACCCCTGGTCCAGGATTTAAACTAATATCACCAGCCAAAAGGTTTACCAAGATGGTGAGTGGGAGTCTACCTCTTGGGTAACCTAAAAATGGTTGGGAGAGAGTCTTAATGCCGTTTCCAGGATGTGGGTGCAGAACACAGGAGTTTGAAACTATGCATACATAGAGCGTAAGTCAACAATGTTTGGTGCAAAATTTGGCAAGGTTGTTGTCAGGCAGACTGGATCGAAACTAGCATCAAAATATGGAATAATCCTACCATTAAGCTGATGTTGTTGATTTAAGTAGATTCGCAATCCACAGATGCTTGAGATGATCAAAAGTAATAGTTGTAGGTCGAACGTGTGATACATTTTCCTACTCAGAAACTTCCGTCGGCGTAAAAACATTGCACTGGGTAGCATGGTTGTTTGTTGCCAGTCGAAAATAGTCTTGTGAAAAAAACAAATCAATATACATTACAGTTTAAAAATCCAGGTTGCGAAACAGGCACTTACAGTTTAAGAGTCCAGGTTAAAAAACACATTACAACTTGCTGATGATTGCGGGATGGCAAGACTGCGGGGTGCGATCAATATATCCAAGATGGTCGTCGGACAAAAGAAACTGCGCAATAGTCGTAGCCTTGTTGCCATTTTTTGATTGGACAATTAACGACGTTGAAGTACATGTACGCAAGTACGACGTTTGGTACTATGTACACATACGGGCGCCGCATGTACATGTTCATCGTACAAGACCAGATTCTGCAGGTTTTTCTGTGACACATTTCGTTCACATAATAATACAGAAAAAAAGAGGGAAAGGAAAAACTTTATCATTTCACAAAACCCTACATTGTATATACAGTCGACTCCCTTTATAACGAGGTCCGATGGACTTTCACAATACTGTCGTTATAGCCGGAACCTCGCTAAAACCGGAGCGCAGTTTTCCTCATTCGTTGTGCACAAGGTACGGTACATGTGCGCGCGTGTTTTAATCGTGCAACACACGTCCGAAGACATGAAAAAGGATAGCCGTTTGTTGGTATGTACGTCTGTTATTAATGTATATTAAATATTTAACTGATGGTGATGAATAAATGAAATAAATAAAATACCTTTAAGGGAACATTGTTTAATATTTGAGGACCTGAATCCGGAGGAAAAGGCATCATCGCTGAGAAGAATCGCTGAGAAGAATCAGGCAAGTAGGTCACTCGCACAAATCATGCCGAGCGACATTTTGCTTTCATTTTGCATTTGCTGGAATCGGGCAAGAGAGGGCGCCAATACATGTATTACTTCCTGGTTTTAATGATCTTTAGATGTGGAACTTTACTTTTTGTTGTTGACCTTTTGGAGCAGTTGGGTATTATTGTTTCTGAAGGGATTCTTTGAATTTTTTCGGTTAATCGGTTAACTATAGCGCACATTCGTGCCAAGTGACATTTTGCTTTCGTTTTGCATTTGCTGGAATCGGGAAAGAGAGGGCGCTAATATTACTTCCGGGTTCAAGTGTCTCCATGTGTAATTGAACTTTGACTTTTTGCAGCGATTGGTGATTATTGTTTCTCTTCTTTTAAGTTAATAATAATAAACAAAAGCAGTACTTTCGGATTAACATTTGTACATGTGGTGGGGCATTTGAAGTTCTTGGAAACCTAGCTGTTTTCATTGGGATTGTTTTTTTCGGCGGGGCCGGAGGGGGTGCTTTATTTGTTTTAAGATTTTTGTTTTTTTATTCCTCGGATGAATCTTTCTTGGGGGTGGGGACCACAGTATGTTTTAAACTTTATTTTTTCAAGACAGACTGAATTATCTCTTTTTAGTTGTGGTGGCTCTGAAAGAGCCGTTTGTTTTATGATGCTGTGTTCTTTTCTACTGGAAAAAGTCGGTGATTCTCCTCTGGATGCTCGTCCCAAGCTGCTCCTCTGACAGGTAGTCCATGATGCCAGCTGCGTTGTGGTAGACCTCATCTGTCATGTTGGCCCGAGTGCAAAGGAAGTGTTGCACTTGAGTCATCATGTTGATGCACTGCCGGACAGTGAGTTGTTCTTTCTGGGCCTCCTCTGCTTCCGCCGCCGCCTCCTCCTCGTCGTCATCTGGACCATCGCCTGCTCTCTCTGCTGTTATCTCCGCCGAAATCTCCTCATCACTTGGCTCGTCTGTCACCTGAAGATCTTTATCAGCAGTTGCGTACTCTTGGAAAGTGTTGGGTAGGTGCATGTGGAGAGCCAGACGTTCCCAGATATTATCTGGGCGATCTTGGTCTTGGGCTGGATCTTGGTCTTGAGCGTGGGCTGGATTTTGGGCTTCGTCTTGATCTTGAACTTGTGGTTGTGGTGCTTGAACTGGCTCGAAACCTGCTTTACGGAAGTAGTTGGCGAAACAATCTTGCTTGACGGCTCCCCACGCTGTGTGAACCATATTGATGGCCTGCAAGACGTTGATGGGCTGAGGTGCTTCCCTGGCGTCGTAGGCATTGAGAAGACTCTGTAGCAGCTTGCGACGGTAATGAACCTTCATGTTCATTATCACACCTTGGTCCATAGGCTGGAGCTGTGATGTAGTGTTCGGTGGCAGGAACTGAAGGGTGATGGAGTTCAGGTGGGGGACTTTAGGATGCGCTGCGCAGTTGTCTACGAAAAGAAGAACTTTCCGTTTCTGCCTGGTGAACTTCTTGTCTAGACGGCGAACCCACTCAGTGCATAGATCAGATACCATCCACGCCTTGCGGTTGGCACGGTAGCTGACTGGTAGATATGTCACGTTCTTGAAGCAGCGAAGTTTCTTGAATTTTCCGATGAGGAGGGGTTTCAGCTTCTCTGTGCCATCCATGTTAGCACAAAGCATGACGGTGATGCGCTCCTTGCTCTGCTTACCGCCATGGCATTGCTCTCCCTTGAAAGCCATAGTTTTATCGGGGGTGAGTCGATAAAACAGGCCAGTCTCATCGGCGTTGAAGAAGTCTCTCGGTGCGAACCCATGCAAAATGCGGGGAAGTGTTTCTTTCAACCAGTCGGTGACGGTGACCTGGTCGACTCTGTTGCTCTCCCCACAGATCTGCTTATGCATAATGCCGTGGCGCTCCTTGAAGCGGGATAGCCATCAAGAACTTGCTCGGAATGCTCCGTGCCCCATCATCTGGGACAGCTGATCAGCTTTCTCTCGCAGCATTGGGCCGTTGACGGGAAGATTCTTGGCTCGGGTCCCACGGAACCACTGGAGAAGGGCCTCCTCGACATCTTCGAACGTAGCAGTGCGAAATCTCTTTCTCGAGGGTTCAAACTTTGAAGACTCAAAGTTTGACGTGATGTTTTCTCGGTTCTTCATGATGGTTGCCAGGGTACTTGAAACGATACCATAGTGGCGCGCAGCCTTCTTGCGTCCGGCATTGACAGCCCTGATGATTTCCATCTTGGTCTCGATGGAATGTCCCTTTCGCTTGTTCTTGATTGAAGCCATTGCAGTAAAAATCTCGATATTTATCTCGAGATGTATCTCGGTATTTGAATGAACATTGCAAGCTATCTGCAATGATTCGTTGGACATTAATTGTGTGCATAAACTTTGGGAATGGAAGAATTACTTCTCTCTTTAAAAACTCATATATTATTCATCTATATTAAGTTCTTGCCTTCTTTAAAAACAAAATTAATGTAAATTTATTAATTGTATGTACATATTATGCGTATTAAATTGATCCCTGCTTTTCTCTTAAATCATTGTTTTAATTTTAAAATAGTTAAAAAGTTTTTAAAAAATACCTCCCTAATATCTAAAAAGGACTGATGATGCGACCGGAAGAACTAATTACTTAACACTTCAATTCCGTATTCACTTTCATGCATTGATGGGGGTGTGTCTAAACGATCTCAAGATGTAATTATAGATCATTTGGACAATTGGAAATCTGTTTTCTTTATGATGTTCGTTTATGAAAACTGACCGTCACTAAAGTAATTCTGAAAGTATTGTATAGTGAGTGCGCTTCCCGGGTGCGTAAGCAGCGCTACTTGCGACCGCGCTTGCAGCATAGCTACTTGCACTGGAGATATGAAGACACCATCAAATGAACGTCGTTCATCGTCCAATACAAAATGGCATAAAGGCTACGACTATTGGGCAGTCAAAAGAAGGACTTATGGGAGTCCTACTAAAGCGCGTCAACAAGCGTCAACAAGCGTCAACAAGCCTCAACGGTCGTCAACGAGCATCAACAAATTTTGTATAGGCTTTTGAATATTTAAAACAGCTTTAAATGGTAGAAAAAGCAATAAAGAACATCTTCTGCATATCAATTAAAGTTAGAACTATTTTAAAACTTGGTTATTTTGAAAGCGAAATGCACGACGAGTTTGTCGATAAAAGTTGACCGCCGTCTTGTTTATGTGTAGCTAGCCGTACTACGCATGCGTGAAGTGTACAGAGCCATACTTTGCATGCGCGAAGTCTACAGCGCCATCCAAACAAGATGGCGGCCAACTTTTATCGACAAATTCGTCGTGCATTTCGCGTTCAAAAAAACAAGTTTTAAAATAATTTTAACTTTAATTGAAAGCAGAAGATGTTCTTTAAATTATTACTTTTTCTACAATATAGAGCTGTTTTTAATGATTTTAATGTTCAAAATTTGTTGACGCTCGTTGACGACCGTTGAGGCTTGTTGACGCGCTCTAGTACTAGTAGGACCGACTTAGAGTGGACCGACTTATGGAGGTTGCAGAATTCCACAGTCGCACAATGGTGGTTTTGCAGTACAAAAACCTCACGTTTCCAGCAATCAATCCAGCCTCCAAATGCGACAAATTTCAAGTCAACGGCTTTTAGAACTTTCCAAAATAACGATGATCAGGCGATTTTTAAGAACAGTCACGAACTCAAAACAGTGAGGCAGACACTTACAGTTACAGTTTAAAGTTTAAAACTTACACTACAGTTTAAAATCCAGGTTGAAGAAGCAGGCATTTACTGTTTTAAGAATCCAGGTTAAAAACATCTTTAAAACTAGAGATCTATGTCTGTTTGCAACAGAACATAGGGCTTTTCCGCATTATGATTTTTTTCTATCAATAATACGTCCCTGAATATGCATGAACATAAAATCGGCTAAAACGATCACTGTGGACAGGATTTGACCTCAGGAACACGTGCGCTGCGGGTTGACTGACATACGATGTACCGTATGTGCGCATGTACAACGTACGTGCATGTGCTATACACATTGTGGAAGTCCTGTGCATGTTTTAAAGCTCTCTACCGCAACTTGCGCAAGGGTATTTTTTGCCGACGTCGCGTCAACTGTGTGAACAATTTGACAAGCTGGGAACTTGGCACTGTTGAGGCAAATGTTTACGCTATCATTTAATGGGCAATTCAAAATCATATCTGTAGGATTGATTTGTTATCAATTTTTGAAAGAGGAAAGGTCTTTTCAACGGAACTTCCAGTCTGATGACGTCATACGCCTAAAACTTCGCACAAGTCTTAAGTGGGTCATGGTCATCATATACACCAATATTTAGGCGATTCCGACAAACTTCGCCACAGACATCAATTCAAAATACATTTTTGAAAATTTTCAACCTGTCGCTAGAGGGCGCTCGAATATTGCATGACGTCACCGGTAAATGATTTGAGGGATACTATCAGCCAAGAGACTAACACCGTTAAAAGCAAGTTCATATCTATTACCATTTTTAAATAAAAAGCCACTTCCGGTTTTGGCCTATTTCGACCGGAAGCAAGGGTCACGTGATTGCACGCACACTGAATGAAATAAAGACCCCAACCTACTCTACCACTTGCCGGCAACAGAATGCTGCGGATGCGTACGGTTGATTTCTTATGCATGATTAAATATCAAAAGTGTCACAATGGACAAACAGTGGTGTAAATGAATTACTAGCAAAGAGTCGAAAATGCCCTTTGAAAATCGGGGGAAAAAATAATATCTGTGTACAAAGTCCATGGGAAAAATTAATTATTCATAAATCCATAATAAATTACTTGATGACGTCACCATGACGTCATTCTTCGGGGCACATCTATGCTATAAGGACTAAGCCTATGCTGACTTTGAACGATGTATGACAAAGATGAGTGGCAAAAGTGAGGGGCGGAAGAAACGTGTACAATGTCTATGGGATTTGCCAGGGAATAAAAAGAAGAAGAAAGAAAAACTAGAGGTCTATGTCTGTTTGCAACAGAACATAGGGCTTTTCCACATTATTTTTAATTGAGGTCATGTTTTTCTGTTTTGTGCAAAACTGTGTGCATTTACGTTTTGTCTAACAAACCTCATTCAAATGGCAATTTGATTTTGGCATATTGCATTTGTTATATATAAAATATATATAATCACACGATGACGTCATGATGACGTCACCTCAATATTTATTTGAAACACATCCCTGCCTACCCCCATACCAAGTTTCAACCCAATCTGACATACTGTTCATGAGATATAGGGGCTTAAAATATACAAGTTAACGATGACGTCACATGTCTAATGATGACGTCATCGTAACAATACTTGGCAGTGCTCATTATTTTATTGTGGTTTTAGTCTGTACCAAGTTTGAAAAAAATCGGATAAAGTGTTAAATTTTGTAAGCAGAATAAAATTGGCAATATTAAAAAAATCTTTAAAAATCGACCGATAACGTCATCGTGACGTCATTCAAGATTTTGTGTACTAGTGTTATTATCTACCCACCCACCAAGTTTCAAGACGATCGGAAATTCCCTTATATGTGTTTCAAAAAATCGCATTTTTGTTGACGTCATTATGACGTCACACCTTTTTCCAAATTTTGTGCATTTATCTATTGCCCAGCGAACCTAATACAAAAAGAATTTTGAATTTATCATATTGCGTTTGTGAGATATGGCTTAAAGGTCCAAAACTTCAAAAATCTATATAAAATCACACGATGACGTCATGATGACGTCACCACAATTTTCGTCTATAACACATCCCGATCTACCTACATACCGAGTTTCAACTCAATCGGACTGACAGTTCTGTAGATATAGGACTTTGTAATATGCACATGAATGATGACGTCACATGACCCATGATGACGTCATCATGACGTCGCTCGTCCGCACACATCTATGCTGTATGGACTATGTCTATGCAAACTTTGAACGAAATGCAACAAAGTTTAAGGGCAAAAGTGGCGTGTAGAATAAACATGTACAAAGTCTATGGGGTTTTGGAAAAAAAGAAGAAGAACTAGAGGTCTATGTCTGTTTGCAACAGAACATAGGGCTTTTCCGCATTATGTTTTTTTTTTTGAGGTCATTTTTTTCTGTTTTGTGCAAAACTGTGTGAATTTACGTTTTGTCTAACAAACCTCATTCAAATGGAAATTTGATTTTGGCATATTGCATTTGTCATATATAAAATATATATATAATCACAAGATGACGTCATTATGACGTCAGCTCAATATTTATTTGTAACACATCCCGGCCTGCCCCCATACCAAGTTTCAACCCAATCTAAATCACTGTTGATGAGATATAGGGGCTTAAAATATACAAACGATGACGTCACATGTCTAATGATGACGTCATTGTAACAATATTCGGCAGTGCTCATTATTTTATTGCGGTTTAGTCTGTACAAAGTTTGAAAACAATCGGATTAATGAAAGTGTTAAATTTTTTAAGCAGAATAAAATTGGCAATATTAAAAAAATCTTTAAAAATCGACCGATGACGTCATCGTGACGTCATTCAAGATTTTGTGCACTAGTGTTATTATCTACCCACCCACCAAGTTTCAAGACGATCGGACATTCCCTTATATGTTTTTCGAAAAATCGCATTTTTGCTGACGTCATTATGACGTCACACATTTTTCCAATTTTGTGCATTTATCTAATGCCCAGCGAACCTAATACAAAAAGAATTTTGAATTTATCATATTGCGTTAGTGAGATATGGCTTAAAGGTCCAAAACTTCAAAAATCTATATAAAATCACACGATGACGTCATGATGACGTCACCTCAATTTTCGTCTATAACACATCCCGATCCACCTACATACCAAGTTTCAACTCAATCGGACTGACAGTTCTGAAGATA